GAGCAACATTTGTCTCCATAGCGCTTCCTAGAACCTTTTGAGTCACACTTCTCTTTCCATACCTTTTCCTTTCACCCTTTAGGTGAGTTTTGGCAAGCTTTCCCTTTCCCTTTCTTTTTCTCTCCTCTGCGCTATCAGTGCGTGTGGCAGGATATACATCTTTAGGCAATATTTTGACAGTTTCCAACTCATTACCCCTAATTTGTGAGGGGTTTGTTCCTCACACACCATTATTTCTCCATCTTAGTTAAGGCTCTTCTTCTTCCTCCTCATCATCCTCAACACCCAATGAAATTGGAGTTTGGTCAAACACAGGTTGACTTCCGTGTGAGACCTGATACGGTGACCTGAGTTCTTGGTCCAACAATCTGGGTTGAGTATCCTCTCTTAGTGAGGCTAGACTTTGAACAGCCACTAGTTCTGCCCCTGTTGTTAGTATACACGAGTCCGGACCCCTTCCTTCTGGCAGATCTCCTTCAAACAACCTTTCAGATATGGTAGACGACACAGCCATGGACCCAACCTCTGTTTCTTCAGAGAAAGGTTCAGCACTGGGTTTCGCCACAGATTGAGCCTCTGAACTCCGAGATTTTTCATCGGACAACACTAGGGTGGGGGAACAGACCAAGACTTTGTCAGAATGAGAAACAGGGGAGGCCACGACTTCGGTCTGAGGAGTGATGGACTCAACCATTTCACCACCCCCACAGACTGGAGTTGAGGGAGATTCATCAGGGATAGGGATGGAGAAGTCGAATGAACTAGGGTTTTCAACTTCTTGGGAGAGTGGGGTCTTTAAGGAATGATTATAGTTAGGCATTGTTGGAAGAACTGGACAACAAATTTTGAGAGAGAATTAGTGAATCTTCAAGAAAATGTGTAGAAGAACAATGAATTTTGATTCACTTAGTTAGGGATTTTATAAAGAAAAGTTAGAAGAGTATCGGGTCCCCAACAGTGGCGACTGGTGGATTTAAAAATGAAAAGTTTCTTGAAATTGACACGATGAATGAGGTACAGACACGTGGAAGTGACGTTGACAGTTAAGACAGTGTAACATAAGTAATACTAACCTCATGAGGACCAGGTCCCCTTCTTACTTTGCAACCCTGCCTAGTATGATTAAATCATTCCTTCAGCTAGACATATCATGAGTGCATACCTGCATTAAAGTACCTAAAATGAATCTTTTTATGACCTACATTAAAACAAGTATAGATACATGCCTTCCTTAGCATAGTCAGCAAGAAGGAAATTTGTACAATATTGTGAAGGAATCATGTATTTTTGTGCATCTTCAGCCTTATCCTGTTTTTGATGAAGGATTCTTTGCTTAGAGCCTTTGTAAAGATATCAGCCAGTTGATCTTCAATCTTGCAGAACCTCATCACTACATTTTGCTTTTCAACATTATCTCTTAGAAAGTGATGCCTCACATTTATGTGCTTTGTTCTTTTGTGCTGGACAGGATTTTTGGCCATGTTCATGGCACTAGTGTTATCACAAATAAGAAGAATAGTGTCTGTGAGTACACCAAAATCTTCCAACTGCTGCTTAATCCATAGTAGTTGTACACAACATGATGCAACAGCCACGTACTCTGCCTCTGCAGTAGACAATGCCACAGAATTCTGCTTCTTTGTTCCCCATGAAATCAAAGTTGATCCTAGGAAGTGTGCTACCCGATGTGCTTTTTCAATCAACCAGAAAACCTGCATAATCAGCATCAGAATAACCTATAAGATCAAAAGAGTCACAAGTAGGTAGAAGAGGACCTGGTCCTGAGTTCCCTTCAAGTATCTCAGGATACGTTTGGCTGCCTTCAGGTGAGACTCCTTTGGTGCTGCTTGAAGTCTTGCACACATCCCTACGTTGAACACGATGTCTGGCCTGCTTGCAATCAAGTATAGAAATGATCATATGATTCCAATGTACATGGTTTGATTTACCTCCACACCATATTCATCTACATCAAGTTTTACACTTGTGCCTATGAGTGTATCTAGCACTTTTGCATCGAGCAGATTGAATTTCTTGAGCAGCTCTTTGATGTACTTCTCTTGGCAAATTGAAGTGCGTTGAGAGGATTGTTTAATCTGCAAGCGTAGAAAGAAAGTGAGTTCCCCCATCATGCTCATTTCAAACTCACTACTCATCAAATCAGCGAACTCTTTGCAAAGTGAGTCTGAAGTGGCTCTAAATATGATGTCATCCACATATACCTGCACAATTAACAATTCATTACCTCTGGATTTTAAGAACAAGGTATTATTAATTTTACCTCTTTTGAACCCATTGGTGAGAAGAAACTTTGACAGGCGTTCATACCAAACTCTGGGAGCCTGTTTTAACCCATACAAAACCTTGTCTAATTTCAGTACATGATCGGGCAGGTTTGCATCTTCAAAGCTTGGAGGCTGCTTGACATATACTTCTTCTTTCAGGTTCCTATTCAAGAAGGCACTCTTGACATCCATTTGAAACAATTTGAATTCCATGTGAGCAGCAAATGTTATCAAGATTCTGATGGCTTCCATTCTAGACACGGGAGCAAAGGTCTCATCATAATCAATTCCCTCTTCTTGATTGTAACCCTGTACCACAAGTCTTGACTTATTTCTAGTAATGATCCCATGCTCATCAAGTTTATTTCTGAAGACCCATCTGGTCCCAATAATGGTTCTGTCAAGTGGTCTAGGGACCAGGTACCACACCTTGTGTCTCTCAAACTAATGAAGCTCCTCCTGCATTGAAGTTACCCAGTCTACATCCTTCAAGGCTTCCTTGATGTTTTTGGGTTTAATTGATAATATGAATACTGAATGTGTTACTAGATTTCTTGATTTAGACCTAGTTTGAATCCCTGAGTCAAGTGGAGAGATGAGATTGTCTAGTGAATGTGAAGATTGATGTTTCCATATAGACTTTCTGGTAATCTCTTCTTCTCTGTCAGCATCAGAATCACCTTCATCTTCTTCAAGATTTTGAGACAATGTTTTCTGTGAAGGACCTAAGGGACCAGGTCCTCCTGAGTGTTCTGTGTCCTTCTCTTTTATACCCTGATCAACATGTTGTTTGTTCATCACCTTCTAGAACTCGTAGTCCTCACTGTTCTCATTCATTATACCAGATTCATCAAACTTGACACGCACATTTTTTTTCAACATACAGAGTTCTTTTGTTGAACACCATGTACGCCTTGCTTGTAGATGAGTACCCAACAAACACACCCTCATCACTCCTAGGATCAAACATTTGCACCCAAATGGTTTAAGATGCGCAATTGAAGGTTTTTTGTCATATAACAGCTCATAGGGGTTTTTTTTATGGCAGATCTGATAAGACATATGTTTGTCACATAGCATGTTGTATTAACTGCTTCAGCCCAAAAGTTCATTGCAAGTCCTAAATCAATCAACATAGTTCTAGTGATCTCCACCAAAGTTCTGTTCTTTCTTTCAACGACTCCATTTTGCTGAGGAGTTCTCGGTGCTGAGAAGTTGTGATTGATTCCATTTTCTGCACATAAACCTTCAAGTTGAGAGTTCTCAAACTATGTACCATGACCAGATTTAAAACTGGCTATCTTGCAATTTATCTTCAATTGAATAACTTTGACAAAGGTGATCAGTTGTCCAACTGTCTCATCTTTTGTCCGCAGGAACATGTTCCAAATAAACCTGGAAAAATCATCAACAATGACGAGAATATATTTCTTACCTCATCTGCTTTAGATTCTGACAGGTCCACATAAGTCTATGTGGAGCAGCTCCAGAGGTCTCGTTGTACTGATTCCCTTCTTAGCTTTGAATGATGAGTTAGTCTGATTCCCTTTAGCACAGGCATCACATACTTTATCATTTGAAAACTTCAATTTAGGCAGTCCGTGGACCAGGTCCCCTACAACAAGTTTGTTCAGCAAAAAAGTACTCACATGACCCAGTCGTCGATGCCATAAATTTGCATCGTCGATTTGGACACTTAGACATGACAGGTCATCTCCCTCAATATAGTCCAGATTTGCAACATACATAAATTTGACTCTTGTCGTAGACATGATAACCCTTTTGGTAATGCAGTTTGTAACCAAACATTTATCGGCCATGAACTTGAATTCATTCCCTTTGTCACAGATTTGTGAAATACTTAAAAGATTGTATTTCAGACCCTCCACATAGTGTACATTGTTTATAGAATTATCAGCAGATCTCCCTATTCTGCCAATACCAAGAATAAAACCACCAAATGACACACCACCACCATGTGTGCTTTCAAAGAGAGGAAGTTTGAAGTATCTCCGGTCATATGCCTTAAAGCATCCACTGTCCATGTACCAGCAATGACTCATTCCTCTCTTCTGCATAAGAATCACTTGTTAGATTTAGGATCCCACTTCAAACGGAGTTTCCAATAATTATCAAAAAGGCTTAATAAGAAACCTTCTTATCCAGGGGGGCAAAGTGTTCTTACTGAAACGATAGTGGAGACCAGGTCCCTTGTGTTCCCTTTTATCATTGTTTTCAGAAAAATTTCACATGTTTTTCCTTTGCGTTTCTCAGATTCTCACATTTTTCTTTTAGATGACCATTACGCCCACAGTGAGTGCACAACAAATTGTCAGATACAGACACATATTTGCTATGAGGGTTATAGGGAGGTTCTATTGGTCTACAACCCAGCCCTTTCTTTCCATTGAAACTCTGATTAGACAGGTTAGATAGGATCTTAGAGGAATCGGTCCACATTAGAGAGTGGCTTAGCTCCTCCTTGATTCTTCTTAGATCCTTTCTCAATTGAGAATTAGTTTCAAGTGAAGCAACTAGCTTATACTCAGAAATTTTAAGCTTTTCTTCCAATTCTTCCTCAAAGCTACTAAGCTTTCTCTTTCCACCCACTGAAGTGCCAGGATCCTTCTCAGGAGTTATATTACTGGCTTCTAGAGTACCTAACCTTAAACTCATTTCATAAACTTGAGACATGAGAGCTGAATTCTCACCCTCTTACAAACTTAATTTTTCATTCAACATTAAGTTTTCAGTGGTTCGTTCATCAACGGAATCAATAAGCAGGGCAGCAAGTTTCCTCAATTTTTCAACAGGAAAAGTATCTAGATCATCCTTAAGATCAAAGAGAGTTACCTTATATGGATCTTCATCATCATCGAATTTAACCATCAAGGAGAAAATGGAGTTGAAAATACTTTCATCATCTTCAATTGCCATCATTGAAACATCATCATGGCTTTCTGCATCTTCTTCTGACTCACTTGAATCATCTCCCCATACAACAAAGGCTTTTCTTACCAACTGATCAGCATGAGTCTTCCTCCGAGCATTGTCGAGGACCAGGTCCCTCTTGCGAGGTCTGGCGTCATGAGTTTCCTGCTTTTGACTGAGGCAGTCTCTCATGAAGTGACCAAGCTTGCCACATTTATGGCAGAGATCATTTGCAGTAGTTATTCTGGCAGAGGTTTTCTTTTGGAAGCCTCCATGCTTCTTTATGATTTTCTGAAATCTTCTAGTTACATGGGCCATCTCATCCACTTCTTCAGTTGACTCAGTTTGAGATGTTCTCAAGGCAATGGACTTCTCCTTCTTTCCTTCCTTTACTGTCGTTCCCTATTTCTTGTTTAGCTCGTATGTCTGAAAGTTCCCAATCAGTTCATCCATGGGAAAAGTCATCAGGTCCTTAGCTTTAGTTATGGCATCCACCTTGCTTTCCCAATATTTAGGAAGGACCTTGAGAGTCTTGCGAACTTGCTTGCTGATAGGGATAGGCTCACTCAGGCAAAGATAGTTTCACCCTCTTTCATAACAAAATTTTCATAAGTTTCTATATATATTGATTTGGCCCTCTAAGTTTTTACTGTTACAAGAGTAACATTTATGACATAGTCTTTATCCATAATATCATAATCAATTAGATAATTAACGGGTCACTTTGTAACTTACAGATGAATATGTTCACTTTATAACTCTTTAGCTTGCAATTAAGTTATGAGGTGAAAATGTTGTGAAAATATTTTAATTACTTAATAGTTAACTTATTAGATATTTATAACATTTTTAATTATGATAGAGGTAAAATGGTATTTTAACTTTTAGTTTTGTGGCTTTCCATTTTTAGTATAATACTAGATATGGGAACGTGCGTTGCACGTTTATCCCAAAATATTTCATATAAATTTTGTATTGCAAAATCCATCATTATTTCGATATGAACTACATATATTTTCCTAATAAAAATAATATACCTTTAACTATAAAATTGACTAAAGTGCATAATGTAGAATTTGGTGAACAATATGCAAATTTTCTTATGAGTTGTGTTAAAGGTGTGCACCTGACCATTCTTCACCTAAGGTGGCTTTGCTATTATTTTTCTTCTTCATATTATCAGCAGTGGCGGAGCCACCTTATTGCTAGGGGGTTCATCCGAACCCTTTTCGGCGGAAAATTATATTATTTATACATGGTTAAAATATTTTTTTAGGTATATATAGTAGATATCGAACCCCCTTCGGCTACTTCATGTGTCTATTTCTTTAGATTTTGAACCCACTTATTGAAAATTCTGGCTCCGCCACTGAATCACTATGTGTTGCTTCTTTGAGACCAATTCCAAACCACACCTACTATAATTCTAAAACCAGTTCTTGTTGCTTTGTAAGTAGGACAAAGCTACTTTAATTTGTTTCTTAATTTGAAGTGTTGCATGGACGACGTTAATCTCTCAAACTTGTTTGTCTGATTTTTACTTAATATAAAGTTTAAGAAAATAAAGAAGATTTTTAAATTTTGAACTTAAACTAATTAAAGATATGTCAAAAATGTATTACAATATCCTTTAATTTTATCGTCTTAAACATGTCACAGAAATTTAGAATTAAAGAATTACCAAAAATAAGAAAAAGACATTCTTTTTTTAAAAAACCAAACAAAAACAAAAACTATATATACATGCAAATTGAAAAGGAAAGAGTAGAAATATTCACCAAACTTTTCTTTAAAATCAACTTAATTATATTATACTAAAACTTAACTAGATCCCTCGACATTTTACTCATAAACAAAGGCTTCAAGCTCATCATTGTAATATACTCCCTCCGTCTCAATTTATGTAACACGTTTCATTTTTCGAGAGTCAAACAGTTTAAGTTTGACCGAGAATTTGCTTGTAGAATCTTCAAATTATTTAAAATGAAATTTATATCATTGTAAACTACATAAAAAGTAATATAAGTCCCAATAATTGATAATTCAAAATATTTAAAAGATATATGAAAAATTTACGATTAAAGATAGACTTGTTTGAATCACAAAGTCCGAAATGTGTCACATAAATTGAGATAAAGAGAGTAACTAATTTACACTTTTAAATAAGACGATTATGCTTGAATCAACAAGTACAAAGTAATAGTAATACAAAAGACGTGTTAGTCCTATTCGGCTTTACAGGTGGTCATTTAAAATATAAATAAGGGAAAAGGGCCTGATAGATCCCTCAACTTTGTCATTTGGAGCTGATATGCCCCTCGTTATAAAAGTGGCTCATATATACCCTTCTCGTTATACAAACGGCTCACACATACCCCTACCATTACAAAATTAGCTCACATAGATCCTTCATTTAACGGAAGTGAAAAAATTAGTTTTAAATTTTTATTTTTATTTTTATTTTCTTAAAAATTATTTAGGGGTATATATGATTCTTCTAGCAAAGTTCAAGGTATATTTTAATCTTTTTCATACATAAATTATTTTTTGACTTCTTTTATTATAATTATTTGAGTTTCTTATTCTTATTTTATTTTTTTTTCTTTCATTCCTTAGTGTAAAAAAAAATTTAACTATTTTTTTGTGGCTATATTATAATTTTAAACTTTTTTTTTTGTCTATATTGTAATTTAATTTTTGAATTTGAAGAAAAAAATTTGGTCTTCTAAATAAGTTTTACAAGAATATTAGTGAAACATAAATAAATTTTGACCATCAAAATAATAAATCTAAATTAGTCATTAAAACAAAAAAAAAGTAAAAAAAAAAATATGTTTGAGGAGGATTAAATATACTTATATGAGATTATATATTATTATTTTTTAAATAATAAAAAATTAAACTAAAATTAATTTTTTCATTTCCGTTAGAGAAAAAGGGTATATGTGAGCCATTTGTATATAAGTAGAGGTATATATGAGCCACTTTCATAACGAGTGGTATATCAGCTCTAAATTACAAAGTTGAGGGGTATATCATACCCTTGGGAGGACAAAAAAATGTAGGAAACTTGGAAGTCAACTGTGTATTCTGTTCATGGATGTTACGATAAAGTTGACTTTTTGATATTTTCAGCTTCATATTCCCATTATTCATATAGTCATACTGCTGACTTTTGACTCATCATTCATTTAACCTTTATTAATTTTAATTAATTTTCTGGACCTTGAAATTTTAGTTATTGCAACTAACTAAACTTGTAGTCTAGATCTTTAAGTCGAAAATTGCTTTCACATGAACTCTCCAATGTCTTGTTTCATCTGTTATTCAGGAAAAATTGCACATTCAATCATTTTGTTATAGGTCTATTGCAGTTTTAGTCCTTGCCTCAATTGTTGTGGACAAGGTAATATAACCTTATTAAATTTGTGGTTTTAAATTCTAATCTTATTAAATTATTAGATTCTAAATTGATAATTGTACACATACAATGAATTTTTAGGACAAATAATATTGAATTTTAATTTAGGAAAATGGGTCAAAAATACCTCTCAACTTTGGTTTATTAGTTGACTATGCCCTTACCGTTAAAATGAAGTTATTCTTACCCCTGCCGTTACTAATTTCATCATTTATGTCCCTATGTTGATGGAAATCCCCAAATTGACTTAAATTAACCTGAATTCTTTTAAATAACTCATTCCCCATTTTAAACCCATGCTCTGACCCGTCTAAAAACCTAACCCAATAAACATTTAACCTATTTTCCTTACCCATTCTTTCAAAAGATCTCAAATCCCACAAGAAACATTTACAAAGAGTGTTAATTATCTCTAATAAATATATTTAGCAATAAATAAACTATTGTCATTAAAGATCACTTTTAGTGATCCTAGCTTCTCATATTCATTTGTTTTTGTAGAAGTAATGGACAAAATAGTAATGATGGGTATCTTTCCTGAATTGCCTTATTAATTGTGTTATTAATATATAGTGCTAGTGAATTTATTAGTTCGACTCCCAATTGCTGTGCACAAAATCACCGTTTGAACACTGTTGCGATGATTTGGGTTCAGTAAAACGTAGCGTGCATAATTAAGCTGTGAAATTAATCTTATTATTCTCTACTGAAGTTCAAATGCTCCTATTGTAATTTTGTTCGTATTTTACTAATTTGTTTGTCGACCTATATTTTATTTGAATTATCAGGAATAATTAACATGCTTCCGCCCTTTCAACTACAATCACTAAGCAGGTTTCTAACCTTTGGATCTAAGGGTTGATAAAGGATATAACCAAATCATATCAAGCAACTTTTTCATAATTTACTTTTCTTTTTGTATACACTAAAATTTTGCCTGATTAATTAATTTACTTATTCAATTTCTCCTTTCGTTTACAAGCTCAATTTGATCAATAAGTTAAGTATTGTGATAGACGGATAAATATTATTTATTATGAAAGAGAAAAAACATAACCACAATAAAACATTTATTTTGCAATAAAAACAGAAGAAGGCCAAAGCGGAAGCATTAGATATATGTAATTGTGTGCCTAGATTAAGTCCAGCATAGCGCGTCTTCCTCGTGCGTCGATCTGAGCTGCAATTTGAGCTGCTATAAACCGGTCATGATCATCATTCACTGAATTTATCATTTCCACCGCCGCATTCACATGGGAATTCCGACTTGGATTTGAATTTGGATTTGGACGCTGCTGTTTGGGGAAAACACCGACTTCAGGACTAATTATCGCACAGTTCAAGTGTGAAGCGAAATCACACCCACCGCAATAGTAGAACCAGTTGTCATTGTTCATCATTACAGAGCAGATATCGCAAACATATTCGCTATCCTCAGGATAACCGTATTGGATCTCCAATTGATGCGGGAGTTTATCAACAAGTATGGAGCTAGGACAGGATGCACATTGCAAGTGTATATCAAAATCACAATCAACACAGTTATAGCAAAATCCATTTCCAACAGAGCCACAAGCATTGCAAATATAGGAACCACTCGCGTAAGACGGAATTTGGTGAAGGGTCAATGGGTGCAAAGGATGAGACGAGTGATTTAGAATACGCGGAGCATTAAAGCAGTTTTCATGGAGGAAATATTGGCAGGTGTTGCAGCCGTAGAAAGGCTTGTTACTATTGTTTGGTTTCTCACAAGCATTGCAAGTGAGAGTTTCAGTTGGATTCACAATTTGTTTCAAGACGTGTTGATGGCTGAAGTGTTGTTTACCCTCATTTGTACCCCCGTTCAGTCTTCCCATTGTGTTTTATTTTTTCCTTTGTAATTTTGTTGTGGTTCAGT